AAAAAAAAAAAAAAAAAAAAAAGAAATCTATAATTTGATGTTGAGTATTCATTTTGCAGCTTGGAGATTTTACTGATACATTTGACTCCACTGTAAATGTAATGGATAAAGTGCCTATACAGGAGACATGTTTAGAAATGATTTCATAATGATATTCAATCTTAACAAAAGTGGACATTATTAAATCAGAATCTTTAAAGAGGAGCCTTTCCAGAAGTACTGAAATGAAGACATGCCTGACTCTCTCCATCAGAAGGGTTTCTGCCCCTCTGATAACACCCTCTCCGTCCAATCTGCAAGTCCCAGGGAGCTCAGCACACTGAGGTTCCCCCAGGAGAGATCATTTCTTAGGACGGTAAACTCACTAGAATATTCCTTATGTTGACATGGATTGGATTTGAGTTGGATCAAACTTTCAACCTTTTCCTTCAGCCATTCACAACACAATCAAAAGGTTAACAGCACAAATATGTGGCAAACCGCATTTTCTCATGCACACTACACAGAAGAGAAAGTACAACCACTATCTTTTATTCTACTTGTATCGTCTGACTTCTCAGGAAGATTGTGAACATAACTGAGGGCATGAGTCTCCCCGGCACATGGAGGCCCTTTTGGATGTAGAGCCTCTGGAAATTATGAAATCAGCAACAGGGCTTCTCTTATTAGATGTAGCACCTGAAATCCGTGCCGGAGGGAAGAGAGGGGATGAACGCAGAAATGTTCCACATCCCGAGGACACCTGTCCCTCTTTTTCTTTCTGCCTGGGACAACTCATTTCTTCCAACCATCCAGGGACAGTCCAGTTTGCTCAGAGACCCTGCACCGGGGTGAGATGGGGCTCTGTAGCATCCACACCAGCATTCACAGCCTCCTATGGCTTCACTGTCTGAAAATCTACCTACTCCAACATGGCCCCACAGTGACAACAGACCCGTGACAGGAAGCCCGAAGCTCACATAGGAAAGCTGGAGAGATCAATGTCTCTATAGGATGGGAAAAAAGAGAGGTCGCAGGCACCCAGTGGCTGATGTCCACACTGAGTCCAGACCCTGATCAGGGCCTGACTTAGCGTCACTGGCAATCCCACCAAATTGCAATTCCTTACACTGGCCCAACGTGACAAATCAGATGGCTCCCTTCTGCCACATGGAGCACACAGTGTTTTCCATCATCCATAGCTTTTTTCCTGATGATGTCTGTGTTATTGCCCCTTCCCACTCTGCATGCTGCGCTGGGCTTGCCATGCCTGAATGAGGCTTGCTCCCATGAGCTCAGGCACCCTAGGGACCCCTGTTAGACTGTTCAGCTGTTCAGCATGGTCTCCTTTCCTTTCTTGGTGGTGGTCTTTTCCTTTTTCAGAATAGAACAGTGATTCTTAAAATAAGTTAGAGCAAAAACATCCAGTACGCATGAACATGCATCAAAATCACAAGTTATTTGCACAAAAAGCATGTAACAAAATGTGAATATATCAAAGAGAAAGGCTTTGCAGGAAAAAATCTATTTTTCTCTGAAATGTGTTGAGATTATCTGACAACTCTAAGATTGTACTTAAATTGTCAATAAAAGCATCAAAAGAGCTTTTGAGTCTGTCTTTGTTGAAGATGTATTTTCGATAAATGTGTAGGGGGAGAGAGGGAATCACAGGCTGTGTTATGCCATGGGCCTCATTTATGTCCTGGAGGAGTTGCCTGGTGATAAAATGGCCATCGTCATGTCAACTCCAAGCTCCAGATTAAGCCTGGCTGTTTCTCTTTGTTAAGTAAGAGGCGTTTCTTAAGGCTATCAAAATTTGAAAGGGCTCCAAAAAGCAAACCCTCATTAAAAAAAAATCTAACAGTTACTTTCTTGCCATTCTAGCAAACTATTCTAAGAAGAATTTAAAAGAGAAGTTTGGGTTGGAAAAGATCTATAGGTATTTTTTCTCTCATATCATTCTAGAAAATTTCAGTGACTTTGCATTGCTCTCAGTGTGGGTGTGTTGACACAGCATTTTCAAAGAACTGCATTAGCGGACACGCATTGTTTGACAATGATCCCAGGGTTGAGGGATCTGGAATGGAACATTCCGAAATAGGGCCTGTACTAGATTAGACAAAGAGGCTCACACTGAGGTCCTCTGGGTGCCAGCAGCCACAGGGAACACTGCAAGGAAATGCAAAGGTCATGGGAATGATGGCGCAGGTGAAATAGAGTAAGAGGCAGCAGAGAAAGTGGGTGAGCTCTGGGTGCCAGTGTGGGAACCCCACCTCCAAAAGTCACCTGTGTAAGAACTTTGGGGACAATAATAGCAAGCATCACATAAGGTTATGTGAGGATTAATTAATTCACCTTAGAACAGTGCATAGCATAAAGGAAGCACTCTGTCATTGTTCACTATTATTAAAAAATCAACCAGTCATTGGAAACTACAGAACAAGCTAACAGAAAACACAGAACTATGCAAAGTGATTACAAGTGCTGGGAATATCTCTTTGAATATACAGTTGCAGATTTAGGGATTTATGTTAGAGGCAGGTGATTCATGTTGCATATTCGTGCACATTGCATTATCTTCTAGACAGTCCCAGAAGTGTTCCTATAAAGGTAATGTTACATTGGGGTTCAGGGTGCCCTCAGCTCCCCTGAGAGGACGTTTCTCCAGGTTCTTGATCTCCTGCCCTCTTGAGAATGAGAGAGGGGACCACAGCTCATTGTACATTAAATGCTGGACTCAAAAATGTTTGTGAAAGTGATTTATTTAGACAAAGAGAGAGAAACCAGAGAAGGAGAGAGAAAGAAACAGCTAACTCTCACACTGAGAGAGAGAATCCAGAAAGATGGAATCCAGGAGAGGAAAGCAGCTTCCACACTGAGTGGAAGGGAATAGAGATGGAGTTTAGGAGGGGAACACAGGCTTCCTCGAGAGTGTGGAACGGGACCCCAGAGGGGAAATCCAGGAGAGACAAAGATGGCTTCCACGAAGGGAGTGTTGGTGGAGTCCAAAGAGGTGTGGAAGAAGGGGACTTTTAACCTGGGAGGAACCCCAACCTTCTCTAAGACCCCTAACCAATGAAAGGAGGTCCTTAGAACTTCCACTGAAGTGATTGACTTTTGGTTTCTTCCTGCGCCCGCGAGATTTAAACATAAACTGTTAAATCTTCCGGATGAAGATGGGTGGGAGGGGGAGAAAATACTTGCCCTTAAAACTACGGCCCCTTATGGACCCTAGAAAGAGAACACATTACCTCAGTAAATTGCTCACTCTGTGTGTGTGTGTGTGTGTGTGTGTGCGCGTGCGCACGCACGTGCTATATATGCAGATGATGTCCAGGGTGTGAATTAGGGTTAATATTGTGAGTAGAAATGAATACGCTTAAATGTGAAACGCTTATGCAGAAGGCACTGCAGACCCTGGGGGAAAGCCGGCAGTCCCAGTGTGGGTAGTGGGCATGCCTCATCACCATCTGCCTTTACAAATGTTTCTGATAGTGTGGAGAATATTGTTGTTCGGTTTTTTAAAGAAAATCCTGTTTCAAAACAGCATGGAGCCTATCTTCAATCCATGGTGAATAAACTAACAAAATATTTTAGAACTGGCCGGACTGGCCAGGCGTGGTGGCTCACGCCTGTCATCCCAGCACTTTGGGAGGCCAAGGCAGGTGGATCACCTGAAGTGGAGTTTGAGACCAGCCAGGCCAACATGGTGAAACCCCATCTCTACCAAAAACATGAAAATTAGCTGGGTACGGTGGCAGGCACCTGTAATCCCAGCTACTTGAGAGACTGAGGCATGAGAATTGTTTGAATCCAGGAGGCAGAGGTTGCAGTGAGCTGAGATCGAGCCACTGTAACTCCATCTCAAAAAAAAAAAAAAAAAATTACGAACTGTTGCTGCACTTTGAATAACCATGCCAAAAAAAAAAAAAAAAAAAAAAAGCATGGAGTATTGTCCAGGAAGACCCACTTGACCATACAAATGGGTGGCTCTGCTTTGAGGGACCCACCATGCTCCCTGATCTCATCCTCAGCTACATAGGCTGAGAGAACCAGTTTTGTCTCTATATCAAGGGGTGACTGGGTCCCAAAAGACTAACACTAACATAGCTCATAAGTGAATGGGTATAAAAGCTAAGATGTCAGTTTCCAATTTATATTTACTATGAGAAGCTTTCCTCCCACTTTCACATTTGCCTTTTCATCTGCCTGGAGTCATTCTTTAAAACCCTGGCCTTCTGATGGGCCACCCTGTGGGTCTCAGTTTCATGAATTTGTCAGCAAATCTTTGCTAAACTCCTGGTCTGCACTAATGCTCTGGTATACACTTGCTTCCCCAATCATAGCATTGAACATGCAACACTTTAATCACTTATTTACTTACCTCTGCTCCCCTAGGGACAGAGAAGAGAGCTATGTGTTCACTGATGTATTCATAGCACCATGCCTAGCAGAGACCACACTCTATAACTATGAAACTGCATTTTTAAATTCTGAGCAATTCTATGTGGAAAATAAAATTATGGTGGAAAGCTCTCTTGTTGAGCCTAGGCTCAGAGCTAAATGACTTTAACTGCACGATGTTATTGAATAGTGTCACCTGCCCAGATACATCAATTTCCATA